GGGGAGGGGGGGTGTATATTCATATATTCATGTTCACATACCGTAAAAACAATCACTTTCAAAAGAAATTCGTCGATTGGCGGGCTTAAAGTACTATGAGCAGCAGTGTTATCTGAAATACGTTGATAAAACATGCACTACGAATGTTTTAAATTGCTTAATTAAGTTAAGTGATTTTCAAAAAATACGTTGTGTAAGTCGAGAAAATCAAAGTTAATGTAAACAAGGGAAATCTCTATCACATATATATAAAGATACGACACGCTTATGACTTTTCTTTGTATTTTCCTCATGAATTATTAATGCTTTTTTGAAGCACAACTGAAACAGTGTGCTATCAACAACGAGAACTGAGTCTGAGAGGAAAAGGCTAGAAACAAGCATGCCATTCACACCAGTGCAGCACACAGAATGGAATTTTAGGATTATTGGCCCAATCAGGCCATATGGATATTTTTGTTCAGAAAAATAGGATACAGATTATTGTATTTTGGATTATACATTTTCAGTAACCTACCGCCATTCTCCATATTTTATGCCATGCTACATGAAGTACAGGTAATGAAAACTTTCCGCGCTTTTTTAATAAACTGTTGCATAGCAACAGTGAAAATTCACTAAAGTGAAAATATGGAGGACAGTGGAGAGAGATCAGCGCAAGAATATCTTGCTAAACATAAAATCTTAGAGTTATTTGAAAATCTCACTGCTGCTTTAGTGTTTGAAAGGCCAGGTAAGTATTATTAAAACATTTTAAGGCTTTGAATCGGGATATTAAACGTACGTTGATAAATATAAAATCAATTCAGCTATTGAGTTTTTTGAGTGTATGTATTAATATTAAATATAAAAGATTTATATAAGAGATTTACGTAATTTTAGATATTTACAGCATGTAGGCCTATAGTATATTTACAGTTTTGTAAAAAGTTCGTGTGATCTTGAAATGAGCTTACTGTCTCAATAAAATTCAGATTCAAATTTTAAAGTATCTAAACCAAGTATACCCTGGTTCCAGAGGTAAGAGGTTTATTTTTCATAATTTCATTGTATATAGAATTACCATAGTGGTATCTGCCGCAAGTGAAAATCAAAACACTTAGAGTTGTATGATTATTCAGAGAAAATTTTTGTTAATATCATGTGACCAAATTATTTGATCGACACATAAGTTGATGTTTTACACTGTTTTGATTTGAATTGGCTTGAACTGGCTTCCATATATTGTAACTATAATTGTTGTCTGGAAAGTTCCAATATTAATACCCTGTAGCTCCACGGGATTGAGCTCTAGCTGGAGAATAAAACAGGTAAATAAATTAAAGTTATGCTAAAACTATCCAACCATTCTGCCAAGATTCTTCCTCCTTCGAATCTGTGTATCGCTGCATTGTCCTTAACTATGTAATAATGCCATACTTTAGCACTGCACTCCTGTTTGGCTGTGTTGTTTCTAAAGGATCTTTTGCAATCTAAGGCTTTTCCACATGCATCTAAAGCTTCTGCCATCAGATGAGGATGATCATTCATTTTTGAGTCAAAACTGTAAAGTATAATACATGCAAAAGCACTTCAATTTGAAATTGTGACCGAAAAAATGTAATTTGAACTTTCTTACTGCCAAGAATGCCAGCTAGTAGATGCATTCAAATAATTAAATCAAAACAATTACAGTGAAAAACATCAAATCATGTGATCAAAATGATCGAACAACAATTTGGTCATGACTGATATGAACAAAAATATTTTCCGTTTAATCAAACAGTTCTGAGCGCTTTGATTTTTGTTTGCGGTGGATGCCAGTTTGGTAATTTTGGGAATATTAGCAATTCCGAAGAGAAAATAAACAGTAACCTCTGGTTGAAAGTGGCAATGAATGAATGAATGAATGAATGATTTATTAAAATTTCCAAATGGCAGGTACATGGCATTGCCAGCAACCTGAAAAACTTGAAATTACAAATATATATATATATATATATATATATATATATATATATATATATATATATATATATATATATATATATATATATATATATATATATATATATATATATATATATATGCATGCTCATGACCGTACTGGATTTTGGTATGTATTATGATCATGCTCATGAGCATAACAGGTTTTTTGTATATATATAATGGATGACTCTTCGATTTCGAAGATGTCCTTTTTCGTCGGAGGTTGGGTCACCGTCTATGAACTCTCCCATGAGCCACCAAACCCGCTCGGCTCGCACAGGGCCGTTGACACACATCACACGTGAATCCTGTTGCATCAGCTTGATCAGGCCATTTACGCCGGAGTCGGGCTTGTCGTATTCTCTCTGTCCGGTCTGCTTCAAATCATTGAACCGCCAGTATGGATTGCAGTTCGCCATGAAGCCCTATCTTCTGCACGTGTTTCCCAAGATTGCAGCGGAACATTGCACGATTTTAGCGCATCTTTCAGGCTATCCTTATACCTTTTTCGCGGTCTTCCCACCATTCGGTTTCCTTGTTGTAACTCCCCGTACAACAATATTTTAGGTAATCGTTCATCATCCATTCTCACAATATGACCAGCCCACTGAAGCTGCCTTTTTTTCAGAATGCTTTCAACGCTACAACATTTTGCCCGCTCTAGCACTTCGCTGTGTGGCGTCTTTTCTTCCCATTTTACCCGCATAATGCTACGGAGGGATCGTTGCTGGAAAGCTTCTAGTTTTTTGATGTGCCTGGCATACAAGGTCCATGTTTCCCCTCCATACAGGAGCGTTGATATAACAACTGCTTTGAACAGAGCTATTTTTGTTTCTAGTTTGATATCATGACTCTTCCATACACGATCTTTGAGTCTTTCAAAAGAGGAGCTGGCTTTTGCTATCCTTCTTTCGATTTCATGGTCTAATTGCGCATCATCGGATATTGTGCTACCAAGATACGGGAATGTTTTAGTTGTTTTCAGTTTTTGACCGTTCACGATGATTGATGGTTTATCTAGAAGCACTCCTGGTGGTGGTTGGCATAATACTTCTGTCTTTTTTATGCTGATTGTCAAGTCAAAGCGTCTAGACGCATTTGCGAAACTGTCCATCAACGATTGTAAATCTTCTACAGAATGAGGGAATATGCCGCAGTCATCTGCAAATAATAATTCCCTTACAAGTTGTTCTCTTATCTTTGTTTTGGCGCGCAGACGTTGTAAGTTGAACAATCCGCCATTTGTTCTGAAATTCACGCGAATACCTTTGTCATTACCATCTAAGCAGTCTTTCAGCATAGCCCCGAAGAACAAGATGAATAGGATCGGCGCTACAACACAACCTTGTTTTACGCCATTATTTAT